GTCCAAAATACATCAGAAACTCACCCAAATGAGAAAATTCTATGAGATTCCACGTTTTAAACTGGATTCCATTTTGCGTCAATTCCGTGATTCCGTCAGCATTTTCTGCATTGCGGAAATCATATGGCCCTACAAATCCCAGTCCTATTTTTAATGCATTTATTTTTTAGACACCTGGGAAGTTTTTCCATGTACCCCCTGTAATATGTTCATATACATGTACCCCTGGTTGGGAATCACTGCTATAGGCTGTCCCAGTTCATAGGAGACTACTAATGCAACCAATGAATGCGATCAACAAAACCACAAAATAATAGACTGCATTTGAGTATCCGACGTGACCGGCAATATCCCAGAATTCGTGGCACTGCCAGCAAAGAAAACAGAAAAATTAAGATGGCCATCCCATTTCACAGCCGTATTGGCRGCCCATGGCCCACGTAGGGTTTGGTAAATGATGGCTGCGGTCTACGTGGGCTGCATCTCCTGAAATGAGACACAGCTCATGATTAATTAGCGCTTATGTGTCAGGGATGACACTCAGCTATTACCTTGTTAAATKTGAGCTCAATGTTCATAAAACAAACCAATTTTTAACAAATTTCTGTAGGTTAATTAGATGTAGCAGCCACTTTAAATAATTGACATCTAAAGTTACCTCGCTACAGGTAATTGGTTTTAAGAGTTTTAATAAAAATTGTCAAGAGCATTGCAAGATWATTTTCTAACTCTACAAATGCATACATTCACACACAAACCTAGATTTTTGTGTTGTGCTGAAGTGATGGCGTTAGTTTCCATTACTAGGAACTGAGATATTCCAGTTCAAGGCTCTGATCCATAGTCTGGCTTTATTCTGGTTATTGACCTGCACTGCTACAAAGCTACTCCATCCTTYATCATCCTTTTAAATGACTTAGTTTCCATTTGGTTCATGGCTGACGACTGCTTCCAGTGAGAATAGTCAAAGAAAAAAACTCGAGCAGCTCAAACAGAAGACAGAGATGTTGCTGTGGGTGTAATTGTGAAGCCACGTAACTGATTGGTCGTGCTGCATCTCAGTGTATAATACAAGTAGTTCAAAAATAACTCGTGCGCAGCGATTGTGGTGATAGGTTAAGGATTAAGGTCACAGATGTGGTCAGGTAGTTTGTGAGTGTGGTTTGTTGACAAACAGGATTAAGGATGGCGTGTGCCGAATTCAACAGGAATACATTGTAATCCTTTTAAAAAGCTTGAGCAGGTATGCRTCTGGTTTCTCATTCGGTGACTTGGCTCCTGAACTAAAACTGCTCAAGCTTTTTATTCAGCTCCTTAGGAGGATCAGTACAGTTTTTAAATGTGCATGCATGATGTTTGCTTCGCTTCACAATCCCACTCCTCGCCCATTTCTGCAGACTCAGTGATTGTATTCTGTGGAAACAATACAAGAAAGCTGAAACATATGTTTTTTTCCTTTTATATATTTGCAGGAGAGAGCTTCAAATAGCACCTCTGGGATCCAGTTTTACATTATACTTCTTATTTATTCATGACTAAAGCAATGTTATAAGCAGTTAGACTCTGCAGACGCTTATGATGCATCTTTGCTCTGACAGGAGCGGCTATAATCAACAAAAACAAGCCTGCTGCAAATTAGCTTATTTTGCAATGCAAATAGGACAGAGGTTATCATCTTAAAAATATCATGCAGCCATGTTTCACTTAGGTAAAAAAACAAAAACAAAAAAAAAACAGTTTGATGGCTTTATTTTATTTAATGTATTGCTAATAGTAGTAGCAAATGCAGCACATGTCTAAAGTAAATAGTAGAGCTGAATATTTGTAGTAGTTTGTGCCCATCTTATGAACAGAGGAAAAACATGAGTATTTAAAGAATCCTCTGCTTCTTTAGCTCAAGCTGCATCTAAAAGCAGACCACTGTAAATTGCAACACTTTTTCCTATCACCAGTCAGGGCCAGAACCTGTGCAGCACACACACACACACACACACACACACACACACACACACACACACACACACACACACACACAC